TCTCCCAGCTCATCCAGTGGCGGCCGGTCCAGAGCTAAATTACACGCATCGTTCAAAAAGGATTCTTTCGCTGCTTTATCTGCTGGGTCCCACCCAGTAGTTGGTTTGGGGTAATCTGATTGGCGTGCGCATTGAATTGGCGTTGGAATTTTGACTGTGGCAACTACTGGGACATGATCCGATTTGAGTAGAACCCCAACCGTTTGTCGTAACGGCGTCGCGTTCCCCATAATCCCACCAGACACGCAGACATAATCAATCTGAGTCTTCCTAGCTTTCTTCCTTCGTCTCCCCCACGTCCATAGTTGGTCTCCCGCCCCAGCTCCCATGCCATTCGTGCTGCCGTTCTTCTGCTTCGTGCTGCTATCCTCGCCCTCCTCCAATTTGTAAATCGAGTCCTTCATCTCCTCATGTACGTTCATGTGTGGATATGTATTTAATGCTCGCAGGTCCAGATCACGTAGCCATGCCAATGTCGAGTGCTCAGTTTTCCGCCTTTTCCCGTGTAGCGCACAACACCCGGTAACGCCACGAACGTTTGCTGGCAACTCCACGTGAAAATCGCCAACGAGTATCACCTGAAAGTCCACTGCCACTTGACTCTGACGAGTGTGGCGGACGAATTGGTGCACTTCGTGGCACACTTCCTCCCCCCGACTGTCGTCATGATGCAGATGCACGTTAATTAAGATCACCCTGCCGAGGACCAAACCAGCCCAGAACTGTCCAAAAACTGACTTTCTTACAGCAGGCATCAAGCGTCTAGACACCAAGAAACCGCAATCACTCGTTGTTTTTGTGTACAGAACCAGCTGGCTATAAACAAAACCACTTAATTTCCCCCACTTCGCAACCTCTTGTAACCCACAAATATCCACCCCCAAATTCCGAGTTGCCCGGCATACCCTACCCGCCGCCTTCACACACTTGAAATTGACATTCCAAGAGATCAGTGACAGGTGGTCTACTGTGGCCGATCAGCGCCCGCTACCGCGGAACAGGCGCAGCTGCTTGTGCACCTCGCCGGCACTCCGGGACAACACCTGCTGGCACCACTCCTCAGAGAACTGCGCGCGGCCCTCGGCATCGATTATGCCAGCCTCAAGGTTGTTAACCAAGATGTGGAAATCGGGTTGCCACGTGCACTGGATAGACACCTGCCCGGCGTTCTGCATCAACACCGTCCGGATGAAGTCCTGGGTCTTCCCAAACGCTGAAAACCGTTGCTGGACCGCCGGCTCCCTCTCGATCTGAGCCCAGACTTTGCGCCCGCTGAACGTGTAGGAGGCGAGCGCGGCCTCGAACAACCCAGCGATTTCCTCCGCGAAGCCCGTCTCCACGGGGACGAAAACCCTGTCAGATTTCGCACCTCGCCCGAGAGTCATTTTCTCGTGATGGATCTTTGGTTTGAGGGACGGTGGCGCCGCCTCCACTAGCTTCGTAATCAACAGCTCGGCCTGCGGTCGGTCTATCCCGGTGTCCTTCCTGGTGGCATATTCAGCAAAATTTTTCAAAATAATCTTTGAAGGTACAAATGCTCTGGTCGTCGGGATTCCCGTCGCACTACCTGCATCGGTGCTCACCCCGCTGCCAGGGCCGGTCTTCATCGTAAACATGTCGTTCTGGAGTGCCTGGATCTGCTCGTTGTGCGATGCTACCGTACTTTGTAAGCTTTCCAAACCAGTTCGAACAGGCTTGATCTTCTCTTCGATCTGCTTGCCCAGCCTCTCGTCCAGCTTGGCGAAGAAGTCCTCTGACGACATCTGTGGCAACATCTTGATATATGCTCGGGGTCACGTCGAGTAATGCCCTCCAGCGGGCGAGAACAATCTTGCCTTCCAGCGGGCGAGAACAATCTTGCCCTACCAACGGGCGAGAACACTGAATCTTGCCCTTCCCACGGGCGAGAACAATCTTGCCCTTCCCACGGGCGAGAAAATCTTGCCCTTCCCACGGGCGAGAAGAATCTTGCTAGAACGGGAGGTTGTCGTTGGAACCTCCAGGCGCGGGGGCCGCTATGGCGGCGGCGCCTCGGACCTGCCCGCGCGGCGCCCGGCGGCGGGCGGCAGCCCGGCGGGGGGACCCCTTGACCTCTCTCCTCTCGCTCCCTTTCACCTTCTGCCCTCCTCCTCCTCCTCCTCCTCCTCCTCCTCCTCCTCCTCCTCCTCCTCCTCCTCCTCCTCCTCCTCCCTCCTCCTCCTCCTCCTCCCTCCTCCTCCCGCCTCGTCCTCCTCGTCCTCCTCGTCCTCCTCGTCCTCCTCCTCCTCCTCCTCCTCCTCCTCCTCCTCCTCCTCGCCTGCTGTTTAGTACACGTGCGACACAGGCGTGCACGGCAACATCTTGGACTACGTGCCCTGCAGTTCGGCTGCGATACCTTACGTGCTCCAGGTGAGGCCCGTGGTGTCCGCTGGCTGGAAGACGCACTTGGGGATCGCGCTGGGCCTTCGTCAGTCGGGCCGCCAGCTCCTGACCAGGACTCTTGGGCTGGCGCCCAAGCTGCCCCAGATGGCGAGGCCAGGCAAGGAGCCCACGCCAGGGTCCAAGTCCAGCTTAGCTCGAGCGCAGCGCAACCTCGATCGTCAGGAGGCCGCAGGAAAAAAGGAAATCCAAATACAGTCAGTTGTTCGGAGCCTCTCCTAGTGATGCAACCTCTTCGGGTCCACAGATTTCGCATGCAGGCGAATCCACCGACGTTGGCGATGATATCGAAGTTGCGTCCCTTTGTTCTGAAGAGGATCCGTGGGCTGATGAGTTCAATTCCACCCCCTCTGAGTCTCGTCGAGACGCGAATGCCGTAAGTTTCACAGGGCCCAGTCTTGGTAGCGAGGCGGCCTCTCCTGCGGCGCGTCCCGAGGACCCTCAGGGGTCCTCGCGGGCGGTGGGTGCCGGTTCGGGGGTGGTCCTGGGGGTGCCTCTTGGGTCTGCTGCGGTTGTGGCTTCTGGCTCGTCTGTGGGTTTGGGCACCAGCCTTGGGGGGGCGTCGTTGGGGGCCCCTCATCGTACCGAGGCCGATGCGGCCCTTCAGTCTTCTCAGTCACCCAGCCACAATACACAGCTAGCCATGCCCACTTATAGTATACCACCTTCTCTCTGGGAGGCCCATCGGGCCCGAGTAGGTTTTGTCAGCTTTCCCCCTCTTCGCTCCCTCCCTACATCGAGAAGTCCGCGGTCTACCAGATCGACCCCATAGGTTGCCAGCTCCTCAGCGGGCTGTACGCGTCTTGGGTCGGGACCATGGAGGCCACCATCTTGGAGCACCACAGTTAGGAACCCTCCCCGAAGGTCTCCCGCATGTCGGTCCCCAAGTTCGAGGTTCACGAAGTTCACGGAAATTCCAAGTATCGTGAGGCCCCCTTGAGAGACATTGCAGCGAACTGGTGGACACGTTTGCACATCGTTTTGGAGAGCCTACACACACACATCGTTCCCGTCGCAACGGACGGCTACAGAGGCAGTTGTTGGAGCGAGCTTGTCGGGGCCTTGTTGACGACCATCCAGAGCAGACCAACACCATCATTCGTGAAGGTCTCGCGCTCAGCTGGTCTCAATGGTTGACAGCCCTCCGAAGTGTCGACGCACTTCCCGTGGCGAGGATCGCATTTCTGAATGCTCTTGCGCGCCGTCTAGCCTTGCGAAGTCAGCGCAGGGCGACAGCTTCATCGCTCAAGGAGTTCCGCGAGTGCGCGAGCACCACTCCAGCCCTTGGTACGTTGCATCGTTCTGCGCGTCAGGATCCCCTGCCTCCGCTTGAAACCATGGATGAGCAGGGTGCGGTTTTGCACCACCCCAGGGACACCCTGGACTGGAAGTCTCGGCGCTGGAGGACCTTGTGGGCCCCCGAGGTTTTGGACCCTGAAGCGACCCTCAGGGGAGTTTTGGAGTTGTACGTGGTGCTGTAGGAGACAATCCTGAGCCTCTTCCTCCTCTCAGTGTTCACGATCTACGGGATGCTCTTCGGGGAGTGAAGAGTAAAACTGGTTTGGGGGTGGATCGCATATCTCCTGGGGATCTGGAACGGCTTCCTGGCGTGGGGCTCCAGGGGCTCGCCGACCTCCTCCACTGCGTAGAGAGCGTCCTCATGTGGCCTGCTCGCGCCCTCCCCGTCATCGGTCAATTGCTTCCGAAGAAAGCCTCTGGAGACCGCATCATTGGTCTCATTGCGATGATCGGACGGGTTTGGAGCAAAGCCCGTGAGCCATGGGTCCAACAGTGGACCTCCGACACCGACCCCCCCCGGGACGCCGCGGTTCGCGGGGGCCCTCCGCCGCAGGAGGCCCTCCGTCGGCTTCTGGACGAGGAGACAGCTGCAGCGCCCGGGGCCCCGTACGCGCACGGCCCGGTCGATCTTGAACAGTATTATGACGCGATGTTTTGGCTGCTCAAACTGGTGCGTGCTGCAGTCCGTTTGGGGCTCCCTCCGACGGTTCTCTATCTTGAGATACTTCAATGTGCTTGTCCACGTACACTGAATCAGATTTCAGCCTTTTCAGAACCCATCGAGGTTACCAGGTCCATCGTGCAGGGTCTCAGAGGAGGCGCCAGATATGCACGCATCATGACTTTCTTTGTGATGCAGAAGATTTGCACGGCACTTCCCAGTTTCAGTCATCGTCTATGGCTCGACGATCTTTCCCTCTCAACCAAGGGTTCTCATCGCCAGATCAGGAAGGACATGGTCAAGTGCCTGTCCGACACCGCCGTCGCCCTGAAGGCCCAAGGTTTGCGGATTGCCAGTGAGCCGGCTATCGCTTGCAGTCATCATCCCGACGCGGTCGCCATCTCGAAGGCCCTGCGACGGAAAGGTATTATGGTTCATGCAGTTCTCCAGTGCAGTTACCTGGGAATTGATCTCAGTGGTGGCCGCCGCCAGGCAAGGTCACAGCGACTCAAGAGGACTGCCCATCATGTGCAGCGACATCGGCGAGTCCGACGATATACACATACGTTGCACAAAGTTCAGGTTACATCGCGTCTTGAGATTCAAGGCGGACAGGCAGTGGGCAGCTACGGCATCAATTACACGGCGGCTTCGGGCTCGGCATGCTACTCGAGAACGCATGGTCGATGCCTCACTTCTCCCCTGGCCATTCGTACTCCAGGTCAGGACCCAGCACAGCGTTTTGATCGAGGCACTTTCGCTCTTTGGCTCCAGCAGTGGCGGGATTGTCCTCAGATCAGGCCAGCAGTGAAGCAGGCGTGGAGTCGAGTTTATGCCGAGCTCAGTGCCATGGACCCCTCACGGAGGTCAAGGCACGTGCGTGGTCCATTGTCAGCCATTCTTACATATATGCTATCCTTTGGGTGGGTTCCTCGTGGGCCGACCGATTGGCACTTACCACTATCAGATCACAACTGGTCTTTTCCCGACGAAGGGTTCACTGGCAATCGTTTTCTAGATACCTTCGAGGAATTCCTACTGGATGTGGATACAGCATCTATGGCCCCTCATTGGCGCGCAGCCTCTGGTCATTTCGATGGTGAGGGCCTGCAGGACGGAGTAGGTGTGTTCTCTCTCAGGCGCCAGCTGGATCAGTTAAGTTCAGTTCATCCAGGGGGCCCTCGGCTCGCTGGGCTTCTCCTCACCATCTCCATCGGAGGCATGTGGGCGAGAGCGAGGCAGGGCCTCCTGAAGGCTGATCGTGCGAGGCCAAACAGTACCCATGTTGATCCTACCTTGCAATGCCCCCGTTGCCATGAAGCCGTGGAGGACTCACTACATCGTTCGTGGCTGCGCTAATACAGGATCCCCGATATACGATGCCAGCAATGCTATTGTTCCCTCGGCTACGTCCCAGTGCGAACCCCATGCTTGTTTTTGGCTACGTGACATGATACCACGCGAATGGACAGCTACACCGTTGCCAATTCTATCTGATGGCTGGGAGTCTTCCGGTTTGATTCAAGCTGTGGGACCAGGCTGCATACCTCCCAATCCAAATGGATCTGAGTTGATTATATTTGGTGAATCCAATGTAGGAGCGGATTCAGCAGACCCTCGGTTGAGACGGGTAGCATTAGGTGTGTGCATCTTGGAGACTTTCGACCCCCCGCGCGTAGCCTCGTTTGTGACAGGTAGGCTGGCGGGGTTGCGGCAGTCTGTATCCCGAGGTGAACTTAAAGCTTTCTGGCTTGCTCTGTGGTGCTGCAGTGGGCCCCTTCGGTATGTGACAGATTGCGAGCCAGTGTTTCTCGGGGGGACGTCTAGAAGGTATCGGGTCCCCAGTGGGGCCGATGCTGACATATGGGTTTGTATTCAAATTTTGTTGGCCTCTCGGAGTGAGGACGACATCCAGGTTGAGTTTGTGCACTCTCATCTCGACGGTGAGGCGATGGTGAGCAATCGTGAGGGAAGATGGAAAGTTATAGGTAATACCATCATCGACGAAATTGCTGGCGCGAAGGCCGAGGAGCTTCGAGTACCGTCCAACGTGAGGCACCAGATCCTCGAGGTCGAGAGGAAAGCGTTCCTCGTCAGGCACCGCCTGCTGCTCGCAGGCCTCCAGAGCATCCAGGCGGAGAAGGAGATCGCGAGGCGGAGGCGTCAGGAAAGTGAGGGTTCCCCTCCTCCCCCTCCTCCTCCTCTCCCTGTGTCTGTGCCGCTTGCACCTAGCACTGTCACCTTGTTCGCCACGTCGCACCAGTTGGACGACAGCGGGCGGAAGTGCAAGCGTTGTTTGGGGTCGGCCTCCAAGGATCGCCTCGAGATCTGGAAGAGGACCCCTTGTTTCGAGCCCCTGAATTTAAATGGGGATTTCCACACCATTCCTTTCGGGCACAGGCTGCACGTGGCTGGGGACTGGGTGCACGAATCCCATACCATGAACCTCAGTACCACATTGGGCCTCTGGTTCTGTGGGACCTGTGGGGCTTCCGCAAGCCGTCAGAACATCAAGTTGCGTAAGGATTGTGAACGAGCCACGCCGACATGGGAGGGTTATTTGAAATCCATCCGCCTAGGTCTGTGGCCCAAGTCCTTTTCCAAGGCTGAGAAGGCGAGGCGCTCTACAGGAGTGAGCCACCCCACCCCCTCGGCTTAAGGGCTCCCTTTTCCTTCACTTAGTGCACCGACATTCTCATTATCATTCTCCTCCTCCTCCTCCTCCTCCTCCTCCTCCTCCTCCTCCTCCTCCTCCTCCTCCTCCTCCTCCTCCTCCTCCCTGGTCGTTGCACCCCGCCCTCCGGCGGCACGCAGCGGCGCTGCTCGCCTCCGCGCCCGCCTCCGGCGCCAGCAGCCGCGCCAGCTCCGCCGGCCCGTCCGCGGCCTCGAACGCGAGCGCGGGGAAGCGGGCGCGGGCCGCCTGTCGGGGGTCGCACACGTGGATCGGCGATCTAGGATCTGGCGTTACATCGGGCGTGTCCCCCTACAGAGGGATTTTAAACGAAAAAAGAGAAATACCAAAAAAATGCCCCCAGAAGGTCAAAAAATATTTAAAAAATAGTCCGCAGCCTATTTTTGGATTATGGTTTGATTATGTTTTGACTATTTTGTATTTTTCGTCGAAAATCCCCCTGCTGTAGGGGAACAGGCCCGACTTAAATCTGGCGCGCGGATGCCAAATCCATGTGTCGGGGGAGGCGCCCTTCCCAAAATGCAGCCGGTGCCGCCTCGATCGGCGGCGGAAATCCGCGATGTTAAGGAAGCGAGCATTATACACCGATGTTTTTTCCGGTCCCGCACTGAGATTCGCACCAGAAAACGGATTTTGGTGTTTACGGCATCCTGGTGTATACATGTGTTGCTGCTTCCACGGGAAAGCGGGGAAACAAGTATACACCACACCACCCCGACGTCGTCCCCGACCCTCACAGAAGTCCGGGGCTTGAAAAACCGCCCGCCACTGGTGACACACACATATATATATATATAATTATATATATATATAGCTGAACATATCTATACATATATGTGTGTATATATATATATATGTGTGTATGTATGTATGTATGCATGTATGTGTATATATATATATATAGATATGTATGCTCCAGTTTCCGAGATGTCCCATGGAAGCGGGACCCGTCGCTCATCCACGCCCCCTTGATCCCTGTTTGCGATCGCCTGCGCCTGGCGGAGACGGGCGGCGCTTCCGCCCCGACGGCCTCGCGCCGTGGGCCCGGAGGCACGACGGGCGCTCTCCGACGAGCGGCGGAGGCGTCCAGGAAGGGGGGCAGCCAAGAGGGGGGGCCGCAGAGCATGGCCCGAGGCACGTGCGCGGACCAAGGGGGGGGGGCCAGGGAACGCACTGACAGCAGGAAACGCGAGCCATGAACTCTGTGGAGGCATCATTCGGGGATGGACAGACCTCCCTTTGGCAAAACGTGGCTTCGTGAAAGCGACCCGAGGCCCAAACCTGGCGGGCGCGAGCCTGGAACATGACGGCCGCGGCGCCCTCTCGAGAGCCGAAAACGGACAATTCACGGATCGACGTGTCAGGGTAGGAGGTCTATCCACCTCCCCTCGCCCCCTCTGGAGGAGGAGGAAGAGGGAGGAGGAGGAGGAGGAGGAGGAGGAGGAGGAGGAGGAGGAGGAGGAGGAGGAGGAGGAGGAGGAGGACAATTCACTGATCGACGTGTCACTGTTGGGGGGCTCTGTCTGCCCCCGAAGCATGGCCCCCGACACCCGGCAGCGGGAGGGGCGCTCGCGGAGCACAGCCCGAGGCGCAGGGGGGTGGCCACGGGACGCTTCAGAACGACAAGAGGGGGCCACGACGTCCGATGAGACACCGTGGCCCTGGCAATGACAAGATGTACTCCGTCCCGCAGTCATTGAAGGGGCCCTGGGACACAAAAATAAATACACACAAAGAAAAAAGGTTCCCCTTATTTTCCCATATTTTCTGGGTTTTTGTCCTCCCCCCCTATTCCCATACTTTCCTATATTTTCTTGGGAATCGACGGTTAATTGTGTCTGTGTGTTTTTTCCCCTCCTGAGTCATGCCCCCCTCCTCTTCCCGGCCGCCCCCGGATCTTGGGCGCCTGGCCCGCGTCGGCGCCTGGGCCCGAAAACGCTGAAGGGGGTGACGGCCTTACGAGGGGAGAGAGGAACAAGGAAAGGCGACACCAGCACCACCAGGGCGAGGAGATGCACGGAAGCAAGGGGGGTCTCCCTGGTGGTGTGGCCCCCCCCCTCTCGCTCGAGACATCCCCAGTCCCTCGCTCGGGGAGGCATCGTGGACCTCCTCGCTAGAGGTGGGCCCCCTGGTGGTGTTGGCATCCCTTCTCCTCCCTCCGGGGAGACGGCCGCGGAGGAGGAGGGGAGAGCGAGAGAGACCCGCGCAGCCGAGCGTCGGCGGGGTGGCCGTGCGCCGGCAGCCCCAGGCACCAGAAACAAAAAGTGCACGGCCGGTGTGAGCGCGGGCCGTCCAGGCCGTCGAGGTGGGACAGGATGGCAGCAGTTTGAGCAGGGACCGACCTTCCCGGCATTACTATAGTCCTCCCACGAACTGTTCTCAGAACCCAATCGTGTTCTACTAGCAAAACCAAAGTTTTCAGAACATAAACCCGATGTCAGAAAACAAGACAGGCCCCGCCAGACATGTCCCGAGAACATCCCGTGGAAACCACAAGAGGTTCTCAGAACATGGTCTGGTAGGGCTGCAGGCACGCCAGGACGCTTCGCCACTGCTTCGAGGATGGCAGTAGTGCGGTGCAAACGACGCCGGCACACAGCACGCAAAGGAAGCAAGGGCTCCCAAACTCGCGCTTCGCGCCGAGCGAATCGCGAAGTGCGAACCACTTCGCGCTCCCGCGCCGCCTCCCAGGGGAGGAGAGGAGGACGAGTGAAGGGGCCCTGGGACACTCACATAAATACACACTAATCAAAGGATTCCCAATATTTTCCCATATTTGTTGGGTTTTCGTCTTCCCCCCCCACTGCCCATAACTTTCCACATTTTCTGGGGAATCGACGATGAATTGTGTCTGTGTGTGTTTTCCCCCTCCTGAACGAGGAGCAGTCGGAGCCGACGCGCGCAGCGCGAAGCGCGAATGACTTCGCGCCCTCGAGGGGCGCCCCTTGGGAAGGATCAGCGCTCGGGCTCCCAACGTCGCGCTTCGCGCTGAGCGAGGCGCGAAGCGCGAACCACTTCGCGCTCCCGCGCCGCCTCCCAGTGGAGGAGAGGAGAACGAGGAGCAACCGGAGCCGGACCGCGAAGCGCGAAGCGCGGATAGCTTCGCGCCCTCGAGGGGCGCCCCTTGGGAAGCAGCAGCGCTCGGGCAAGGGGCCCTCCGCGATAGGGAGCCCACAAAGGACGTACGCGCCCAGCTATGTACATGAACACGGCCCCTCGATTCGCGAGACCGGCCGCGTGATAGGAACATTTGTGCAATGCGGGCTCTCGAAACCAGCGTGGATTCATTTACATGTACGCCCTCCTTTCGCTCCACACGGCCCCTCGGTTCGCGAGACCGGCCGCGTGACAGGAACATCTGTGCCATGCGTGCTCTCGAAACCAGCGTGGATTCGTGTACGTGTACGTCCTGCTTTCGCTCCTGACGCGAGGCCGTCTCGCGGCCAACCCTCGAAGGCGCCCCTTGGGAAGGCGCAGCGCTCGGGCAAGGTGCCCTCCGCGAGGCCGTCGCGCGGCCGACCCTCCCGGGGCGGAGCCTTGATCACGTCCGTGGCCCGGTCCTGTCGGCGCGCTGCGGCGGCAGCGCAGGGCGCCGCGCGGCGGGGCTCTCGAAGAGATAGTCCCTCGCCCCGAGGAGCGGAGCGAGGGGTCGTACTATGTCGCAGCGATATTCTATCGACGATATATATATATATATACATACATATATATATATACATATATGTGTATTAAAAAATGCCCCAAAAAGGCCAAAACATACTCAAACAATAGTCCCCAGACCATTCTTGGAATATGTTTCGATCATTGTTTGGGGGTATGTTTTATTTTCCGTCGAAAAGCCCCCTGTAGGGGGACAGGCCCGACTTCAGGGTAGTACAGTCGTCGTGCCACCAGTTGGCGGCGAGGGAGGGGTGGAAGCGACAAGGAGAAGGCCTTCTCAGAAGGCGGCGGGACTTCTCGGAAGCCCTCGCGGCTTCTCTGATAAATTGTTGTGTCTGTCTTCGGGGAAGGCTCAGAAAACCTCTCAGAAGGCCGGGGGACTTCCGAGCCTTCTGAGAAGGCCCGCCCCTTCTCACTTCCCCCCCTCGCTCGCCGCCGAACCATGAGGACCGCTGAATGAGGAACTTCTGGCCACGGCGAATCTCACGAATAGGACCCTCCAACTAGATCGAACGAACGGCCCGAATACCAAAGCCCTGTCCGCTCTCCATCGCCTTGACTGTAGAGTCCCTGGACAAAGTTCTACAACACGACAGTGCAGATGTGCATCGTGGCCTCTCCGAGCTTCCGTCCTGCCGTGCACTCTGGAGCCTGCCAGCCGACGTCATCGCATTTGGTCTACGCGCTACGGATACAGTCCGGGCGTTGACCTAAGGAAGCCTAAATAAGGAAAGAGGCCCCTTTTTTCAATCAGTTAAACTTCGATTTCCGATTGAAGACATAGGAAAAAAACCTGAGGCAAGCTGTGAAACACGTAAGGAACGCGGAGCCCCTCCCCAACCAAAAGGGGTCCTTCTTCAGGGCCCCGACTGTAAGAGGGTAGAGCTAGCCGCGTACGGGAACCCGAGCCCATCAGCTGCCGATCCCTCCCCAAACACCCCCGCGGCCCCACAGCCCGCACGGAGCCAGACGTGCAGACCATGTGCAGCCTCATACAGCGGGAAGGCTGGGCTCACTACCCTTGGCCGTCCACGTGTGGCCCGAGTCACGCGATGGTTGGCGCTGCTTGGAGGAGATGTATATATATATATATATATATATATTTATATATATATATATATACAAGATCGCGCCGCGTCGCCGATATATCGATGATGCACCGGCGATGCATCGGCGATGCACTGGCGACGCATCGGCGACGCCGACGACGCATCGGCAACGTCGACGTGAAGCAAATCGGGCTCCACGTCGAGCCGCATCGCCGATGCATCGGCGATGCGGCGCGATCCTCCGACCCCATCTACTCGGACCTCATCTAGGAGGCCTAGAGTATAACACCAACACCTCGCTCGGGAAACAAGAAGGCCACATCGTGACCAACAGCTGCCACATCCTCCTCGCACAAACGCCTTAACCAAGCACTTGAACATTTGAGGCGCCACAACCAATTAAGAGGGACGGATCCTCCACCCTCATTAAATGCACCTGCACCCCGCCGTCCTCTTCGTCTCCCTCCCAAGCAACTGCCCATCTTGATCCGGTTCCACCCCCCTCCCCAGAGACCTCATGCAAAGGTCATTCAAAACGGGGCGGACTGCACCAGCACACTCGAAATGCCAGTGTCGAGCGAACCCGCGCATCTTTCCTCAGCCGACTTGTCTGGGGGGCTTTCTACAAGTGCCCCCTGCTCACCCTGGCCCTTGGTGGGCCCCGGAAACGGCAGGGCCGTTTTTTCACCGTTTCCGAAAAAGTGCCCCTTGAAAACGGAAACGGCAAAAAACGGCGACCGGAAACGGCAACAAAAACGGTTCCAGGATTGGAACCGGAGCGGGAACCCGTAAAAGAACGGCGACGGAACTGGGGAAAAAACGGCGCCGGAACCGGCAACAAAACGGCAAAACGGAACCTGTAAAAAAACGGCCTTGTCGTTTCTAGGGTCCACTGAGCCCCTACTCACCCTGGCCACTGCAACTCTGGGTCAGTCGGGCGTTGCAGGATCCCGTGCGCACGCCCGGGTCCGGCCGGTGTCGAGTGACCCCGTGCAGCTTTCCTCAGCCGACTTGTCTGGGGGGCGTTCTACCAATGCCCCCTACTTCGGGAGCGGCCAAGAGGGGGGTGTCCAAGAGGGGGGGGGTGCAAATCATGACCGGCGGCATGTGCGCGGCCCAGGGGGGGGCCAGGGACGTCATGAAATAAGAAGAGGCGCCATGAAATATGGGCAAACATCATGGCCCCCGCCACGATCTCCCCCCCCCCGAGTCATCACCCCCCTCGGCCGCCCCCGAATACTCACCCTGGCCACTGCGAATCTGGGTCAGTCAGGCTCTGGAGGGGAGGTGGAGGAGGTGGAGGAGGAGGAGGAGGAGGAGGAGGAGGAGGAGGAGACGGAGGAGGAGGAGGAGGAGAGAGGAGGGGTAAATCCTGGGGAGAGGAGGAGGAGGAGGAGGAGGAGGAGGAGGAGGAGGAGGAGGAGAGGAGGAGGAGGAGGAGGAGGAGGAGGAGGGTGGAAATCCTGGGGAGAGGAGGAAAAGGAGGAGGAGGAGGAGGAGGAGGAGGAGGAGGAGGAGGAGGGAAACCCTGGGGGGGCGCCCTGGGCCAGGGGGCACCTTCTAGCAGTACCCGAAGCCCCGGCCCTGCAGGACCCGGAAGGACGACGCACGAAGACATACTGGCACTGGATGTCTCTCTGGGAGGCGCGCCTCCGATCCGAACAGACAGTACGCCCACCTTGTAGCGTCTCGTTTCCCGATCGGTGTGGCCAGAAAGCGCCCGCCACGACGCATGTGCTGTAAGGTGTGTCCGTGCGGTCGTCGCCCCTGGGGGGGGCGATGCACCCTGGTACTAGCATGTTGCGGCGACGCCGAATCGACCCTCGTTTGATGCTGTTCCCATCCCACTCAAGCATCACATCCCAGACATAATTTCGAGCACCCAGAAAAGTGTCAAAAGAGTGTCGAAACAGTGTCGGGCGAGTATCTCCCAGGGCCCGGCACGTGAAAACCCTTGAGTTTCGGTACTTTTCTTGGCCACTCGATTTCTTCCTGGTGATCAAGGCTAGAAGTAGGTTGGAGCATCATGACCCTTGTCTCGAAGGCCCCCAGCCTCCTCCTCCTCCTCTTCCTCCTCCTCCTCCTCCTCCTCCTCCCCCTTCTCCTCCTCCTCCTCCCCCTCCTCCTCCTCCTCCTCCTCTTCCTCCTCTTCCTCCTCCTCCTCCCCACCTCCTGAGAGCGCCCCCGCCCCGGCCGAGCCCGCGCGGGTCCACGCCGACGACGGCGCCGCTGCTGCCGCAGCGGCCAGCCAGGAGCGCGGTCGTGATGCCCTCGTAGGCCATATACGTGTATAGATATATCTGTATGTGCACATATCTATATATATATATATATGTATTGAACGCCAGAAGTGGGTACGGAAGAAATGGGCACAATGCTCAACAGCAAATGTTGTCCCGAATCAACAACGGCCGCTGTTTGGCAGGCGGCCTTCTGTCTCAAATGGACACAGGCCGCGGCGGCGTGGACAGCGAGTCCTGTTCAAAATGAACCAGATCCGCCGTTGGGCATTGTACCCATTATTTCCGTGCCCATCTCGCTCGTGCAGAACATGTGTATATATATATATAAGTATAAATAGATGTGTATATATATATATGTATGTATATGCGCGTCGGTCGGAGGAAGTAGGTAAGAACATGAAGTAGGAAGGCGGATGTAGTGGATTGGGTCCAGGCCCTCCCAGAGACTAACAAAGCACAGCAAAAGCGTGTCGGTTCTTGAAATAGGAAGGCGCGTGAAGTAGATTGGGATCTGGGAATCCAAAAATACTTACTTTCAACGACCAGCGTGTATATATATATGTATATACATATATACACCCGCACGGTAGGTTCGTGTCGTGTCGACCGGCGGCGACCCTGCCGCTGGCGTTCAATCTTGAACGTCACCGGCGACCCAGAATCGGTCTGTGTTGAACGACCTTACGTTTCGGGAACGGCCAATCGTTCAAGGTTGAACGATATCCGCGGTGTCAGAAACCAACCTTGGGGTCGGCACGACAAGAACCTGCCATACACAGACGCCCTCCGACGAAATTGAATGTACCTTCAGGGTGCGCGGCGGTGCACGAAAGTCGCTGGCTCTCAGTGGTGATTTGTGCACCGCCGCCTTCCCCTGAGGCCCAGGAGCGATTGGAGGGTGCCCCTGTAGATCTTTGTGTGGCGGACCTCGTGGCAGCCGATCTCGATGGCCGCGTCGCCAGGCCTCACCAGCTCCACCTGGGAGGACGCAGCTGCAGTGACAGTGGGCACTTTTGAGCCGGCGGGCGCCAAGTGGTCCAAGACAGTCAGACGCCGGTCAAGCAAGCGGTGGGGTGCACCAGGAGCAAATTGAGGCACGAAGGCGAAAGAGAACGTACAGTGGACACATACGATACTGAACCCTGCCACTGGGGCATTCGATGGAGCTCCCTATGGGGCCACGATCCTCGTGGTGTGTGTGTGAGTGCGTGTCTGAAATCGCCCGAGACAACCATGTGAACCCTGCCAGTGGGGCCTTCGGTGGAGCTCCCTATGAGGCCAGGATCCTCGCGGTGTGCCGAGATGGCCCGAGACCGCCATGCGAACCTGCCACTGGGGCCTTCGGTAGAGTCCCCTTTGGGGCCACGAAACGTGTGAGAGGTGCGTCGAAATTTGCACGTGGAGGACTGCGGCCGGGATGGCAGGAGGGAGGAAGGAGGGGGAGGATGGGGGGAGGAGAGGAATGTTGGGCACTGTCTGTTTTAAGCGAGGACCCAACACCGCAGGATGGGAGGGACAAACACAGACATTCAACAAAACAGAGAGACATAGAGAAGGAAAGGAGGATGAGAAAGAGAGAACCGATAGGGAGAAAGGGAGGAAGAGAGAGAGAGAGGGAGAGAGAGTGACACACACACACACATAATCCATAACCACGCGCGCGCCGCGCGCTAGGTTAGGTTATAGTAACAAGCAGTTGCCTCATGCTCATTATATAGATACGCTTCATCTCGTAGTCCCACTCGTCTCATTCCTCGCCGCCATCCTCCTTCTCATCATCCTTCTATTATCCCCACTCTTCTCCATTTGATCATTTGAAAGTATCCGTTGAACTTATGTCACCCTGACCCCTTGCGCGCCAGCAACGGCGCTTCTTGCAGCGTCTCTGGCGAACCTGGCGGCCTCCCAAGAGCCTCTTGGGGCTGCCTTGGGTCAGTCTGGGCCCGTCTGAGGCTATCCAGAACCCATGTGCGGCCTTCCTGGCGGCGTGAAGGGCCGTCTGGAGGCCGCCAGAAGCTGTCTTGGGTCCCTCTCGGAGGGACTCTAGGGCCATGGGACCCCATGGGCAACGGAGGTCCCACTCCCGGGGCCGCGGACCCTGCCGCCATGTCTATATATATATATATATATGTATATATAAGTACATATATATAGAGAGAGAGGTGCAACCAACTACATCTACATCTACATCTACATCTACATCTACATCTACATCTACATCTACATCTACATCTACATCTACATCTACGTCTACATCTACATATACATCGACATCTACGTCTACATCTACATGCACAGCTACATCTGCACCTGCATCTACATCTGCCGCTACAATTACTTCTACACATACATTAAAATACACAAATCCATTAGTCGTATCCATACACATATACATATACGTATATATGAGCACACACACGTGCACATGTACAGACACATGCAACTATACCTATAACTATGAACATACACATACACATGCACACACAACCATACACACATACAGCCATCCATACATGCATACATGCACACATGTATATGTACATGCATACACGCATGCATTCAGACATGCATACATACATACACACATGCATACGTACATACAAATCTCTATACGTGTGTGCATGCATGCATACGTACATACGTGCATACCAGCATACGTACATACATCTGCATATACACAAACATGCAATCACACATGTAAATATATTTATGTACATATATATATACATCCATTCATGCAATCGTACATATGCACATGCAAACAAAGTCATACCTACGTGTCGGCCTACCTGCCTATCTACCTACCTACCTTCCTTCCGACCGGCCTATATTTACATATATGTGTATATAACTATGTGTTGACTTTCTGACCGTCGCCGCGCTAATTGGTTCCTCGGTTCGGCACATGCTTTGGGGGGCGGCTATGGCGCGCGGTCATTTATGAATTTCGAGATTAGAGCTACTGGGGCCTTTCGGGGCGCCTCTGGGGCCTCTTGGGGCCTCTTGGAAGCCCTTCGGGGCCTCTTCTGGGCCTCGTGGGTGCCTCTTGGGGCTTGTTGGGGGTTTGCTGGCGGTCGGGGGCCATCTTGGGGCTCTCTTGGGCCGCTTTGAACGCCTCTTGGGCCGTCTTGGAACCCTCTTGGGCCGTCGTGGGGGCGTCTTGGGCCGTCTCGGGGCGGTCTGGGGGGCGTCTTGGGCCGTCTTAAAAGTCACATCTGCTAAAAACGCACGTTCTCCCAAAAGAATTGGACGGTTTGGGCCTCGTGGGGCTCTCTTGGGAAGCCTCTTGGGGCTCTCTTGGGGCGTCTGGGGGGTCTCTTGGGCCGTCTTGGGGCCGTCTTGGGCGCCTTTGAACTATGTTTGCCTGTCTTGGGGCCCTCTGGGGGCTATCTGGGGCCGTCTTAGGCCCTCCAGGGGCGCTCCGGACCCAGCGGCCCACACCGGGCCTGACGTCTGGCCGGATCAGTTCTCTATGTATAAAGGGCTTCATTGATGCAGTTCAGCTATATGCGTACCCTAACACCCTGCAGTTGCGGATAAGAGCGAAGAGGCGGGCGCGACCGACGCGGCCGCCGAGGCGGCAAACTCCCTGGCCCTCGCCTTCGCCTGGTCCTCGGCCCCATCGCTTGTTTCCGTTTGATCCCTATCCTCCTCCTCCTCCTCCTCCTCCTCCTCCTCCTCCTCCTCCTCCTCCTCCTCCTTTACCTCCTCCTTTACCTTCTCCTGCTCCTCCTCCTCCTCCACGTCTTCCTCCTCCTCCCCCTCCTCTTGCTCCTCCTCCTCCTCCTCCCTCCTCCCTCCTCCATACCCTCTCCCTCCTCCAGCTCAATACCCTACTCCTCCTCCCTCTCCTCCTCCTTCTCGTCCTCCGCCTCTCTCTTCCTCCTCCTTTTCCTCCTCCTCTCCTCCTCCTTCTCGTCCTCTCTCCTCCTCCTTTCTTCTCTCCCGTTCCTCCTTCAAGTCCCCTCATCTCCTTCTCGTCCTCTCCTCTCCTCATTTCCTCCTTTCCTCCTCCTCCTCCTCCTCCTTCTTCTCCTCCTCCTTCTCGTCCTCCTCCTCCTCCTCCTCCTTCCCTCCTTCTCCTCCGCCCCTCCTCCTCCTCCTTCCTCCTCCTCCTCCTACATCTCCTCCTCCTCCTCCTCCTCCTCCTCCTCCTGCTTCTACCCCTACCTGGTGTGGGTCAGGGGTGGGTCGCGGGTGGGTCGCGGGTTGGGTCACGGGGTGGGTCGCGGGGTGGGTCGCGGAGTGGGTCGCGGGTGGGTCGCGGGTGCGTCGCGGAGTTGGTCGCGGATGGATTGCGGGGTGGTTCGCGGGGTGGGTCGCGGGTGGGTCGCGGGTGGATCGCGGAGTTGTTTGCGGATGGGTCGCGGGGTGGGTCGCGGATGGGTCGCGGGGTGGGTCGCGGATGGGTCGCGGGTGGGTCGAGGGTGGGTCGCAGAGTTGGTCGTGGATAGGTCGAGGAGTTGGTCGCAGGTGAGTGGCGGGGTGGATCGCGGGTGAGTGGCGGGGCGGATCGCGGGTGGGGCGACGACAACAAAACAAAACAACATGCATAACAAGAATCCGCACCGCGGGAACCCACTTCAGCCATGCACCCGGGGTCAGTATAAGACCATTCGGACCCTCAAACTGAGAAACAGATCTATATGTATACATATACACGTGCACATGATTATATACACATGTGTTTAGAAAGAAAGAGAGGGATGGAGAGAGAGAGGGATACATATATATATATAGAGAGAGAGAGAGAGAGAGAGAGACAGAGAGAGAGGGACAGGCAGAACAAACAGCAACAACGAGGGACAATCCACATACGTTTAGAAAGAAAAGGAAGGATGAATAGAGGGAGAGGGATATTCATACATATATATATAGAGAGAGAGAGAGAGAGACAGAGAGAGGGAGAGAGGGATAGAGAGAGACAGAGAGACAGAGAAAGGCAGAAAACAAAGAGCGACAACGAGGGACACGCGGAAGGGAGAGCGGGAGGAGCAGGGGCCGAGAGAGGAGGGGGAGGCGGAGCAGAATGGAGAGGAGTGGGGGAACAAACGATCAAGGGGCCCAAGGACACACAAATAAATGCACACGAATAACAGGATTCCCCATCTTATTTCCATATGTTCTGGGTTTTTGTCCCCCCCCCCCACACTTCCCATATTTTCTGGGTAATCGACGATTAACCGTGTCTGTGTGTTCTCCCCCTCCTGAATGGAGAAGAGTGGGGGAACAAACGGTACCGACGCTGCCACTCCCCGGACCTCTCCCAGGGCGCATTCTAACTACAGTCAAGCCGCAGAGTAAGGATGCGCGATAAGGATGCAAGGGCCTTGGACGCCCATTTCGAAGCGTTTCGAGCGGGGCGCGGCCAACGAAAGTGGCCAAGGATGGACCCAGGAAGCAAGGATGCAAGGGTACCCTTGGGAGGGATGCCTATCCTTACTCTGCGGGTCGACTGTAGGGTTTCGAAGCGAATCGCGCGTGAGAGGAGGGACCGGCTCGGGGGGGAGGGCTCGAGCTGGAATCGGCGATGCCTCGCCGATGGATCGGCGCTGGGCCCCGACGGCAAGTCCGAGCTGCCCTGGACGTACTGGGCTACCCGAGCCCCCCTCGGCCCTCCATGGGCGATTGGGGGTCGATCCGTACCCCCGTGATCCTACAGTCGGGGCGTTGGCCTAAGGAACCCTAAACAAGGAACGAGGCCCCTTTTTCCCATAAGTTCCAAACTTCGACTTCCCATCAAAACCTGCGGAAAACCTAAGGCAAGCTGTGGAACAATGAAGGAACACTGAGCCCCTCCCCAGCGAGAAGGGTTCCTTCTTCAGCGCCCCGACTGTATCCCGCCCCAGCGTTGCCTCTGCAACGCAGGCCCCCCAGGACGCCCCACCAGGCTCGAAGGCGACGAGGGCAGGGTGGCAGCATCGATGCCCTCTCCTCCACTCGGGGGGGTCGGCGTGGATGGGGTCGGAGGATCGCGC